CGACCGGTTTCGCCCTTCTTGGGGCTCATCAGGTAGGCTCACTCCTTGGGTTTCCGCCAAACTTTTGTTCTACTTGAACCCAAATAGGACCGTTTTCGAGAAATACACTCATTTGCAAATCAATTTTGGTTCAAGTAGAACATAAGGTTGACGGAAACTCGGGAACCGCGCCTACCTGATGAGCTCTAACAAGGGCGAAACCGGTTGTGGGCTCTCGAAGAGTTTTCAGCAACTTTGTGAGTAGTTTCCTTCATGAAAATATACTGCGATATCTCGAATATCGTGCCAACTGAAACATGATGCGACCTGTCTGCAGCCCATTCAGTTGTAGAATATCGTAAACGAGAGATTCAATTGAGTCTCTCGTGAATACCAAATTGATTTTCACAAATCAGTTTTGTTCTCTTCGAGGGGGTCGACTGGGTTGTACGCTTCTTTTGGCTTTATTGTGTAGTGAAAAAATTGAGCCATTTCTTGGATGAAGGCCATGCACTGGCTTGGTTGTACCAAATGGAAAGAATGGAGAACCGTTTGGACTCGTACTATTTAATCGAATTAAAATGTGCGTTGTGAAATAGCCAAACCGTCGCCAGTTTCGAATACAGTGCAGTGACCTCCTCACTTACTAAAATGAAAAAAATCGTTCAGCTGTAACACGCTTCTGGCGCCTAGCTGCCGTGCCACCAGAAAGAAACACGAGGGCTGGGATACTGCCAGGTTAGCCAACACTAGACAGGGGAAGTTGAGAGGCAGATGTCGAACCACGGACCATCCGGTCAGTAAATTTTCGCTTTAACCACTGAGTCATCTCACTCCCTAACTCAAATGGATGAAGCAACAAAACGTTGAAAGTTCTCCTCTACTTACGGCATAAAGATAACATATCAGTAAAGTATGCCTCACCACAACCACTCAAAGAAAGGTGAACGTATGGTAGCTTTGTGGTACGCTTTAAAAGTTACTGTTGCAATTGAACAACTAACTTCTAAGGGGGCAGGTAGTCACCACTTTGCCCTTATTTAAATTAAAGTACCTTTAAAAACACACTACTCTCCAAGGAGTGGCCACCGCGAGAAATGACACAAAATTTTAATGGGATGCAGTTATGGAGTCTAGTCTAGAGGTGAGAGATGTCTTTTCAAGTTGGACTCTTCCATTGTACAACCTTATTAATGGCATAGTGGAAGGTTGCCTCGCAGAATATTTATTTTCTTTCAACCACCAGCTACATACTGGCGTAATACACTACTCAGAAGGTTGCTGAATACTCTTGGACGGGTTACAACCGGTTTCGTCTTTCTTCGGTCTCATCAGGTTTTAAGTTGTTGAAGGGTTTTCAGAAACCTAACTGGAAGTGTGCTGTGTTGTGACATTCGTGGAGAAGAACACAATGAAAGAGAGACTCAGCTGGGATTCAGGGAAGTTCCCCCTTGAAAACCAAGCCGGGATGCGAATGAGTGTATTCCTCGAGTAGCTGTTTGTCTTCCTCAGGCGGATCCTGAACTATTGAGGGGGGTGATTATATTTGGAGCCATCAACAACACAAACAGAATAAAGTGACCTTACATAAAAGTCCCCGTGAAAGCTCCTTCCGATTCTCCGAATTATTAGGAATTACCCGTAAATACCAAGGACCTAGGAGGTTTTCTTGAATGTGACTGAAAAACATCCTGCATTCTAAACAATTGTGAGTGTGTTATTCAGAACCGTTGTTAACGTCAAGAAGAATCTGTAACTGGCAAACGCTTCCACACAAGATGAGTTGTAACTTTCCAAAACATTTCGGTTCAGGCATCTAAAAATGCTCAAAACGATCGACGTGAAATGTACATTGATTTCCATTCGTTCTTTCAATGATCACGTCTATCTCACCGGGGTTCTTGTTATGACTGTGTGTGCACAAAAACGATAGAGCCTAAGGCAGAGTAGATTTGTACATGTTCAATATAATGCAGACAGCAATTTCTTGCACTTCGTGTGGAGTTGCATTGATGCCATTTTTTTTAAAAAAATTGTCTTCTTGTATAAGATCGGTTATTCTGCGGTGTTCACGGCAATGATGGGTGGGGGCACTGAATTCGAGAGCAAACCAGTGGGGCGTATTCTTGAAGTTTAAACTCCGGACATCTAATTTGCCAGGCGAGTATGTTACCACTGTTCAACCAGCGTTTGTTGGACGCACCTGAATGATTACGTCTGAACAGGCAAACGTATTAACGATTGAGCTATGCGACTGGGTTACACAGCGCCGTCAACTTTCAAGCTGACTGCGCACACGTGCAGCCGAGATTGTTTTCTCAGCGCACGTGTGTCCTGGCATCAGGTTTCGAAAAATAAATGTGCTTCAGAACCCTTTTACATTTTCCGTAGACTGTGAGAAGTTGCTCTGTTGGGGACCGGCAAAACCGACGAGAATTGTTCTGCTGCATTCCCCACATCCCAGCCAGATCGACTCACCTCCCGAGAATGAGCGCATATGACAGTTCCTCGAATGATGAGGAACTTTTGGTTTTCACATTCCAGGGTAGTACTGGAAGACGGTCAGTAGTTTGCAAAAACTCTATTTGTCGCTTGAGGTTCAGTTTATCAGAAAAAAAAACACTGACCAAACGATTAGGATCAGCAAGCGAGAATTTGTTTGATTTGGGCGTATTTGTGCCGAGCGATTTGTAGCTGCCTCGATTGAGCTTGCGCTAGTTGCAACCGAATTCAAAAAGCTGTGAAGGACCAGCATAGGCAAACACTTCCGGGTGGATGAAATCAATTCTGTCGAAAAGATTCATTAAATATGAGTGGAAATTAAAAGTAATAGGGTGCTTCTCCTCATATCGAAGCGGTGAAGGACCAGCATGTCACGGGCAAACACTTCCGGGTGAATGAAATCAATTCTGTCGAAAAGATTCATTAAATATGAGTGGTGATTAAAAGCACTAGGATACTTCTCCTCATATCGAAGTCGTGTGTTGTTGATGAGGAGGATACATCGCATCGGCAAGGCAACGGCAATCAACATGAAATTGTTTGTATTCAATGCAGAAAGACTCGTTTTCAGAGCAAAGTGGGCCGTCAGCAAGCGTCCCATCAAGGAGGACATACAAAGCTGTGGTCTGTGGTTCTCTTGAAGAAAATTTCTTTAGCGAGTGCTCAGTTGTTAGCTAGGGTCAATACATATTCCAGAAGTTGTAAGTCAAAGAGGTTATTATCCCGTTGTTGGAAGGTTATACATATCGATCAACAAACAAAGGATGGCATGGAATATTTATTTCCAAATTCAGAAAAATGAATCTTGACAACCGGATTCTCGCCCCTGACTACTACTGAATAGGCAAAGAATCAACAAACAAAGGATGGCATGGAATATTGATTTCCAAATTGAGAAAAATGAACCTTTTCAATCGGATTTTCGTTCCTGACTACTACTGAATAGAAAATGAGTTTTTTTACGTTTTACTGACTGCAGTCAACGCAGTACTTCTTTCCCGTCACCAATGATACAATGTCTTGCCACCATTCTGGAATGCAGACTCGCCATTTCACTTGGCTAGCGATTGTACCACTGTGTGGACATCTGTTTTCGATCGAGAAACAAAAGCTAGCGCAGTGAATGGCGTGTTGAACCTAGCTAGTTAGATACGGATAAAGATCGGTATAAATTTAATGAACAAGTACTCAAGGAAAGCCTGTGAAAGTTGTTTCGACTGCTGCGTCAGCCCGATTCAATTCGTTCATTTTCTACTCAGAACAATCATTATGAATACTTCTGGTTGGTTTCTGGTCACTTGTTCAGACATTCTGGTTCAACGATATCATGGTTCCCGCGTGGCTGCACCTGAAGAGCGAATTTACCGAAGCTAACTGAGTGGCTTTTTATTAAAATAAAATTTCACCTCAAGTTTTTGGGCTGCTAAATTTAGTATGAAAACGAAGAGCGCTAGAATTTGGCTTGAATTGCCAACTGTAAGGCCAAAAAATACGGAAAATTGTTTTAAAAATACCATTTTGTGTGAAGCAAGTACTGGAACACAAAGGGTTTGAATGTGTATACTCTAGTGTTGGAAGTGATTTTTTATGCATTTGGTCTGTTCCTGGGTATGCAGTCTGGATAGTGAAAGCATTTTATCTCCATTGCAAAATGGACACTTAAGAATGAAGTAAACCAATTTCAGTCAGCTGTGCGTGTTCGGCAGTTTGTGATCCTCGAAACCAAATTGCGTAAAGACGAACCAGAGGAGTGTCGGTCAAAGTCAGACTCCTCTGCTTTTCGACCAAATCACACGAGACTGAAGGAAGGACAATCAATAAAACTGGTTACGGTCCGCCCTCGACCAGGCTAGACACAATCACCCAGGTAATTGAAGTTCCCTCCCTCCCGAGTTGTCGGGTAATTGGATTACAAGGTAGAGCCAGCAGAAATACCCTTTTAACATTTCCGTCGATCAAGATCCCAAGAGAATAAAGGTGCATGCCTGGGGAACAGAATAGAGTGGGACGCAACAATGTTGGCTTGATTGGAGATACAAAAACGCATATGCAGCGCTGATCAGCTAATTACCGAGGCAAAACGTGTATTACTTGATAGATGAAAGTGGTCGAATTGCTAGTTTAATATTTCTTGCCTTACAAATGGATGTGGCGAATTGAAATATGTAGATTCGTTTGCTGTTGGATCATCTGTCACCGAAAATTTAGTTTTCTTAAATGTCCTATATAATATACAGTTTGTAAATGAGTCGATGAAAATGGGCATTTGAGTTCACTCTATGCCAACACGTCAGGACGTCTCACGACGTTTCTGGTCTATTTACATGAAACGAAGAAAATTTCTAAAAACTTTACCATACTTCAATGTGTACACTATCTCGAATATCGTGCCAACAAAATCATGAGGCCGCGTGTATGCAGCACATTCAGTTGTAGAATACCATAAACGAGAGATTCAGTTGAGTCTCTCGTGAAAACGAAATTGATTTGCAAATGAGCGTATTTCTCGAAAACAGTGCAATTTGAGTTCAAGTAGAACATGAACATAAGGTTGACGGAAACTCGGGAACTGCACCTACCTGATGAGCCCCAGGAAGGGTAAAATCGATCATGCGCTGTCAAGTAGTTTTGAGCAACTTTGTGAGAAGTTTTCTTCATAAAGACGTAGTGAGTCGTTTTCCAGATGTAACACATTACTCGTAAGGTTGCTGAATGCTGTCGAATAGTTTTCAGCGACCTTATGAGTAGTGTATTACGTCCGGAGAATTCGTAAGTTCGCAGAGAAGGTCCATCAACTCGACTATGACGGTCTTTCGAGTTAACCTAAACTCACTTCAAATAGGAAGAAAAGTGAACGCAAGATGTGACGCCCACTTGGAACAAGAACGCAACTGTAACGGGTAAACTATTTTTATCTGTCCACTCAGATTATTGTTCCCAATTCTACCAACAAAACCTCAAACTTGGACATGACGGGTAATCACGGAGCTGCCAAAATCTTGTTAACCGATTAGAACCCCTGATAACTGATCCAAGTGACAGTGTACCGTGTGCTTGTTTTGATTATCAAGGGTTGAAAAACGCTTTCTTTTTCTAATTTGATAAAGTTTAGCCAAAGCCAGTAGATGCTAAATTCCAGCCTATCTATCAACAAACGCGTTAAACCAGATCCTTTTGTATCACTATTAATATCACAAATAATATACTGTCATTATACTATCGAATTACTATTTTATTTTTGAATTCATCTTGATTGTCTGCAACCTCAATATATATCAAAAATTCCCTTTTTATTCCTCCAGAAATTTCGCTTTAAATTTAATGTCAAATTTGAGGAATAATAATATGGTTTTGAGTCTTTCAAGATTTTATCTTCCTTTTTATCCCGCTAGCAAAACACTGGCCAAGTATGATGGTAATATGTAATTTAATTTGATTAACTGAGCAAATGTTCTAGCCCGTAATTCATTTCCTAACCGTGTACGCCCATTTTATTTGGCTTCTAATAGTTCCCATTGAGGTGAACTTGCCTTTCAAATATTTATAGGCCTTCATAAAATAAGGCTTAGCTAGTTTAAGCCTAAATACTTATTGTGTGACTGTCAGTGAAATGGAGGCCTTCGCTGCGGAGTTATCTATTGAAAAACACCAACTCAACAGTTACAGACTACATTGGACAGAGAAGCAAAAGCTGAATATCCGTCTTCTTTTTGAGTGCGTCTTCCTGAAATTTACCGGATACTCACTGACTATCGCTCAAACGTAAACGGATGCTACAAGGCCATTTAATAAATTCCGTATTAAATCTCACTTTTCAGTCGACGCAAAGCGGATTTATCGGAACACCACACACTACTTGCATGCTTCATCAGTAGTATCCACCATTACACACGCGTCTAGTTCAATTTTGAATAATTCTTGTGTTACTATTAGTACGTGTTTTTAATTTACTAAAGTCATTGGCCATTTTCATCAGTGTAATTGTATTGATGTCTGTGATTCGCTTGTGAAGTGACTCCATATGCAAAAAGTGAGTCCTTTTATGTCGACTTTGTTCCGCAATATATATCTCCTTCAACTTCATTGGAAATAGTCAGCGGAGTGCATCTCCCGGTTGTGTGTGGAGGTTGGAACTGGTAGCCTCCCCGCTAGCAGTTGAGGGTTACAATGCTCGGTACTGGGCAGCCAATAGTCACTATGTTTAACCCACACCTGAACGGGATAGAGCCTATTTTCTCAAAAGAATCTACTTACAAAGTTACTGAAAACTCAACAGCTTCACGTATTCGTGAGTCAAGATATTCGCATCGTGTGATTACGTGTTGACTAGATCCTCAGGTGACCACTTCTCGGGTCAAAAGTTAGGACGCCAGTTGAATTACTCTTCCATCTGAGGTAAGCTTTTCGACGCGACATCTTTTATTAGCATACATGACCTAGGCAGTTACAAGTCATTAGACAAGAAAGCAAACATCTCATATACACATAGTCTTTAAAAACTGAACAAGTGTCCCATTGAACTTTCCTGGATGTTCATTGATTGTCATACAATAATAAACGAACAGTGCAAAGTGGTCCCTCAATTCCGCAATAAAGTTCACTTCCACCAGATGCGGGGAGGAGGATGGTCATCAATCATAGACTACTCACATAGCTAATCAGTAGCATTCATCGTTACATAGGTAATCTCTTCATGAAAAGGCCGGTTCCATATGCTGTCCACATTTTTAACTCACCTTTGAACAGATTAAATGTTAACTACTATCTGGGGTTTTAAGAGCTCTCTAGAGATTCGAAAATGTACAGTTCCAACAGGAAGAACTGCGCAGTGCTGTTGAACGTTTTCACGTAGATTGAGGACACAAGATGGATTGAAAAAATTCAAAACCCTTTCTTTCATGCTGGGACCGTTTAACTAACTGGGCAAAAAGAGACCACAAGAATGAACTGCCCCCCCGTTTTGGTCCCGGTTACAAGTTGCACTAAACACGCGATAACTGGGACATTGGTTAAACTCATTAACCTTAGTGTACCTGTTGATTGACGCACATATCAGATAGCATCAAAATTTGGACCAGTTTTGCCAAGCCCCAAATGACTTCAATGAAAAAAGGCAATAAAAAACGTCTTTTGAGTTCAACCACGAAAATTATACCCTCTATTTTTCAGCCTGGTGCCACCACAAATATGCATGCCTGTGAACTCATATCTGACTGGGTTAGGATGAAACTTGCTATCGTATCCTAGCGTTTGAGTCGCAGATTAATCGCTGCCTGTCTTTTACAGCCGGTTTTTAGCGTTTTCTCAGTCATGTTTATCTAATTTATGGAGTTCTACGGACAAATAACGGTGTCCGTTTTTCCTCTGATTATAACATGACACTGCTTTTGATTCCTCCCCAGGGTTAAAGTCCCACCGATTTGGAACAAGCGAAAGCAAGCGACATAAAGTAAATCGATGTCTTTAAAAGTAAATCTCATCAACTTTGGACGCTACTTTATTGGTGTGTAAATATCGACTTTATTGGATGCCTTAGCGGACTAGGTGGAATGGCGTCTCGTTTCCGAATCTTGTGCTCTCAGTTACTATCACGAAACAATGAAGCTTGATGACTGGCTCATTTAATCGACAGGTTTTTAAATGAAGAAAACTGATGAAACCGAACCATTCGTGCAGCTTTTCCACGAGTTGTTTGAGTTTGAGAACACTAAAGTTTTTATGTTTACTTGCCTGGTGATATCGATTAAAGTTTACCGAACAATTACTTACGAAAGTGAGTGGCACTTCAGATGTTATTAGGCAGAACAAATTCCGTGGCTGTAAACTTGAATGACGTCCCGAATAAGAAATCCGTTGTTATTGCACGGAACAATGTTAACTACACGATACGTCATGTAAGTCGATCAAAAAACTGCGCAAGACTTGCACATAGCTTTTGTTAAGAACATGAATGAATATTGCTCAGAACACAACGTAATACATTCAGTTGCCTGGAAACATAGAAACCGAGAGATTCAGCTGGGTTCCAGGTGAGTCTCTCGAAAAACAATATTTGCTTACAAATGAGAGTATATTAGCTAATTTCGTGAAATTTGGTTTCAAGTAGAACATGAGGTTAACGAGAACTCGGGGACTGCGCCTACCTGATGAGCCCAAGAAAGGCGAAACGGGTCGTGGGCTGTCAAGGAGTTTTCAGCAACCTTATGAGTAGTGCATTACAACATGTATAACCTAATGCTAGTTTGATACTAATTAACGCACGACAAACTAACAAACAGGACACGCCAAACGGATTGAAGACTTCACAATTGAAAGCGCTGCTTAGGGTTCGTTCTTTCTTCGTTCTACGGTCGTCTGTGCTCATGTCGCTGAAATATTGCTCACTTGCGGCCAGCCAACAAATTCTGTCAACTTTCGTGCACTCTAATGACTTTTTTCAATTTTCCCATACCATTTGTAGCTTCTTGTACGGCAGACATCCTTCAACATTCCTCCTAATGTACCATCTGACTCAAATCCTTCCACACTGGAGGCTGAATAGTCAGTGGAGACACTACTCTAACGCACTCCTTGAAGCACCTTTGATCTTCTGAAGCCTCCAAAGGAGGAGATGGCATTATCAGATCAGAAAATGGAGTTCTACTATAATCGCAAACATGGTGCAAAGTAGCGATATTTTGACGTCGGACCGGGCGTGTAAGTAAAGTGCTATCATGGTAATCGCGTATCCTGGCGTCAAGGCAAAATCTCTCGGCGAATCGCAAATATCATCTACGATTTTCGCGTGGATTCCGAAACGTAGGTTCGTCATTCAAATCAGTTAAAAGGAGCTTATTCATGATTCACTCAGAGATTGAATGCGTTGCCTCTAAAAGTTTCGAAAGAACACCTGGACATGAACAGAGGAAGGACAATCGGCACTGAGGTTGCGGAGCAGCTTTCAGAAGTGCCTGTATATCAACAATCACGAAGGACGACAAGCAGAAGAAGGCCAGTGAGAAAGAAGTGAGTTAATCTGAGACAGAGGACTCATAATATTCAACTGCAAAGGAGAGATATTAAAGGACCAGCTCCGAACGTAACCAGACTACACAACTGCCAATGGAATAACCGCTTTTGGTTGAGACAGATTTCATCGGTTGTTCTTCAATCGCCCTTGACAGATGAGTTGTATTCTTTGTATCACTTTTGACCACTTGCATGCGACACTGATCAATAGAGCAGCTGGCTCGCACGTTCGTTGACTTTTCTGATTTGGTCAAGCGCACCAGGCGGCCAAGCGGCCATCCAGATCGGGATTCACGATAATAAGAAGGCATTAGGGGACTGTGGTCCACAACAGAAGCGAAAATGAATTTTTCCAGATTACGATCAGGAACGACTCTACAGAGTGTAGCACTCCGACTGATCGATCAGACAATCAATGTACGAACAGCGAGGCCCCACTTTCAAAAATCTTTTGAAGTTGTTTTATCGTCATTCCCCTTGCAAACTACAGGCAGTAAACTGTAGGTAGAAGTTATCGGCATAGCTGTTTTCTTATAATCATGATGATCTTTCAGTTGCTAATCGTCCTGGCACTTGACTACCATGTCATTCGATGGAAGCACAAGGGCTGAGATATTGTCAGGTCGCTCAAGCTCAGGGAGAAACCGTGAAGATGACAAAGATGGCTTTGAACAAAGAAATTTCAATCAGCAAGTCCCTGCGTTGACCAGTGAGCCATCACGAGCTGTTTTATGGCGATAGGTAATTACAGTGTACTGAGATGTACCTCAGTGGTTGGGGTGAGAACTTACTGACCGGAAGGCCCGTGATTCGAGTCCGACATCCGCGTCTCGACTGCTCCTGTCTGGGCTCGGACAAGCTGGAACTATATCAGCCCTGATGCTTACTTCGAGTAGCATGTCAGTCAGGCACTGAAAAAGTGCTACAGCTAACCAATGGTATCGAAAGCGCTTCCAAGTTCTCCCGTTTTTTTAGTTTTTTCCCCTTGGTTAACTTAGAACGTTACAATTCTAGGTGCAAATTAGTTGGACGAAAGATTTATGGATCTTGCTCATTTATGAATCTGAAAACACCACGTGGCGCACCGACAATGCCCGAAATATTACTAAGACTTCTTTGTTGATCAGTTTACGAACAGTCTCCGGGTTCCGCAAGACTTTCTGAGTGTTCACACTTTAGGCAGGGAAGTTCTTAGGTCAAACTCGACGTTAGATTGAAGCATAGTCAATATTTACTGAGGGTTTGTTTTCGTTACGAGCGGCGCACAAACTCACTTCGGCCAAGTGATTAAATTTGGATGAATTCTTTTTTTAGTTGCAGGTACGCAGAATTCATGTTCGAATAAGCTGCTGGAGCGTAGCAACAAAATTCACCTGGGGGAAATTTATGAACAAGATCATGTTTACACTCTCTCTGAGAAGATTAGTAGACTAAACACAATCTCTGCGCAGTCATGCTCAAGAGCTGAATTAAGCAATCAACAGGCACTTTAAATTAGTCGAGAGTCAGGCATGACAAAGTGCCATCATACCCTGAGCACTTATATCACAAATATGGGGGGTTCTCNCTGTCCGAATAGAAGGTTTCAGTGTTCAAACTCAGCAGGTAAAATAAAGGGTTCTGGATGAGCGATTTCAAAACAGGAAACATTTTTTAAGCCGAAACCCTGCTTTTGTGACAGGCACACAAAACTGGTTGGAGACAACACGCCTGAAACAGTAGTTACCTAGTCAAGATGTTTGACAATCTGTTACCACCCTCGTTTTTTCAATGACAAGTGAAGAAAGTAAAATCGTAGGCAACTTTTGTGCCTCTCTACGGAAGACTAATTTTACCAGATTACTGTTTCTTTCCTGGATATCTGGGTGTTTGTTTCTCCAGCTCGCGTACAAGGTTGATGTTAGTGAAACATATTGCACCAGCGAATGTATAGAAAAAGCCCTCACGTTTGTGATATAAGTGCTCAGGTCATGATGGCACGTTGTCCTGCGTGACCGCTCCTTGCTTAATTCAGGTCTTGAGCATGGCTCAGCAGAGATTGTGGTTAGTCCATCAATCTGCCCAGAGGGAGTAAACATAATATTGTTCATAAATTTTCCCCAGATGAATTTTGTTACGTTTCAGCAGCTTATTCGGACATGGATTCTGCTTACCTGCTTCTGAAAGAAAGAATTCAACCAAAGTTAATCATTTGGCCGAAGTGGGTTTATGCGCAGCTGATAACGAAACCAAACCGTCGGTAAATATTAACTATGCTTCAATCAAACGTCAACTTTGGCCTATGATCTCCCCACTGCCTAAAGTGTGAGCACCGAGACTGTCTTTTGGAACTCAGAAACTGTTCGTAATCTGATCAATAAAGAGGTCTCCGTAATATTTCGGGCATTATCGGTGCGTCACATGATGTCTTCAGATTTATAAACAACCAAGATCTATAAATCTTTTGCCCAAATAATTTACGCCTAGAATTGTAACGCTGTAAGTTGACTAAGAGGAAAGGAAACCAAGAAAAACGGGAGAACTTGGGAGCGCTTTTCATACCATTGGTTAGCTGTAGCACTTTCAGTGGACTGTTGCGAGCTCCGGATGACCTAATGCGATAAAAATGGATTCATAGAAAAAATATTTATAAACTTTGAAATCATTCTGTAGAGAATGTGGAGAAACATCATCTTTCGGACACAGATAAGAGATGAAAAAAGACGAGAATTTTGTTTGTGGAGATTTCGTCTTGTAAGTGAAGCCAATCTATGCTAAAAACCAGGAAGCGCCGTGCTTTCGCACCCCGGATGACCTAACGCAATAAAAATGAATTCACGGAAAAATTTATGGAAAAAAATTGGCATTTTCTGTGAAGGATGAGCAGAAATTTCATCTTTCAGATACAGGTAAAAGATTACAAAAGACCGGACAACCTATCTCTGTTTGTATTTGATGTGAACTGGTTTGTGAACGCCACAAAAATGATGTTTATTAGGACGTATGCATACCAGATCAGAACTAATGAAAAATAATCAATAAAGTGACCGAGTTTTAAGCTGAATACAAGTACTGGAAATCAAGGTTGACATTGCACGGCCTGCGGATTTTTCACAGAGAATTTTCTTAGAGCGGTACGCATACTATCAGAAAGGTCAGATTCCTGAAAGTAACCGCAGAACGCCGAGACCTACTTGCTCCACCAAAATCTCAACACGAAAGCAGCCGGCAAGTATCCAGGCCAGTCAATCATTCAATCAATTCAGCAAAAGTTGATAAGTGTTCATGCACGCCACAGAAGCACGACGGAGTGTGATCAGCGTTCAGGCATTTCCTAGAGGCACGATCGATGTTGATGGGTGTTCACTAACGCCTATCAGACAGCCTGGATCAACGTCAGGAAGTCACCTTTAAATAGCATGGGGCCGTTGTAACTTTGCTCTCGCTCTCGCAGTCGCTTGTCCCGAATATAGCTGTTGTGTTCCCTTCATTGAGTCTTTTTTCAGACGGGTCAGCAACAGATACCACAAGTCGGCTAATCAGCAGACATAACGCATACGATCCGAGTAATGTATGTCCAACCACTTTATCGCATGTGTTGAAGCGTTTAACAACGATCAACTGGTTGGCATCTGTCTGATACTAAAAGAACTAAAAGCATTCCGCTCAGCAAACTATCATTATCATGATGAACTGATGGAGTTTGATATGCGTACAGCCAAACGAAAATCAATCTCTTAATTAGGAAACAAGCTACTCGCCACCATGAAGCCTTCGTTATTCGAAGCCATTCAACCGCTCCGTAAACGCCTCCGAGACAGCCAGTTTAAAACTAGCACTGCCAAAATCAACTCATCAGGGTTTGTTGCGCGTAGCTGAACAACTTGCTTCTTACTCTATTGTCGGGAATTGATAAAAATAAATGTGAAACACCACCGCCAAACAAAACACGTTTAATAAAGGAAACTACCCACAGGGTTGCTGAAACCTCTTTGAAAGTCCACGACCGGTTTCGCCCTTCCTGGATCTCATTAGCTAGGCGCAGCCCCCGAGTTTCCGTCAACCTTATTTTCAGCTTGAACCCAAATTGAACTGTTTCCGAGAAATTGCACTCATTCAGTTGAGTCACTCGTAATAACCAAATTGATTTGCAAAT